TCACAAAACCACGTCTCCAACCCTGATTACTACAAGTTTTATCGTGACACTTTTTTGGCTGAGGAAACAGAATAGTTCAAGGGGGTAGAATAGTGTTGTGTTTGTACACTTAATGACAGTTGATCTACGTATAATCAAATGCTGTTTATGAACACTCAACGGTAGTTGATCTACTTATAGTCAAATGTCCAGTAAGCAGTAACGTATATAAACCCGTTGCTAGTTTACGCACCTGCTGGGTGGTTTGCTACTTTTCGTTTTATGAATGAAACGTCTCAGTCCGAATGTAGTCTCATGCAGATAAAATTAGACAGGTTCCGGTCAGGATAGTTTTTTGCTTTGTTCTCCCTTCTGATTCATATTCGAATGATGGGTTTTTAAAGAGTTAATTAATCGGTGGGAATTATTTGCATGATTAAAATTTGTTGTCGTTGATAAGCCGGCACATTATATGCTATTTTTATGATCGTGTCTGATTTTAACTGATTTCAATTCTATTTAGTGCTTTACTCGTACGAAATTATGCGTAATTACAATCCTGTAAGATTGACGAGCAGAGAGTACCTTTTTGAAAAATGCATCCTAGAACGAAATTGCATGAGTAAGTGTATTGAATGGGGATTGTGCGCAGCGTGTTGCAACGATGGACGTTGATTGGTTGAAAAATTGCATTACGAAATAGTAAAAGTACATAAAGAATGGAGAATTGACACGAGAGGGTCGTGAATAGACGTTGTGCCGAGGGAGGGGCTATGGAAGCAGAGTGCATCACTTATTGGATGTTGTAGACGAAGTGCGCGGTGAATCAGTGTCCTCGTTTCGTGCGATCCAATCAAGTCGTGCTGTTGGTCTTTGTCGGGTTATTGTTCGTTGTGCACTCTCTTGAACAATGAGGGAAATCGTACATGTTCAGGCTGGTCAATGTGGTAACCAAATTGGAGCTAAGGTTTATTTTGCAGTGAATTTATATTTGATGTGTGAAGTTGTGAGATGAAACAGTTTGTTATGTAATGTTATTGAACTGGATTAACGTCGTAATTCTCATTGCAGTTCTGGGAAGTGATCTCAGATGAGCATGGAATCCAACCGGATGGTTCCTATCGTGGCGATTCCGACTTACAGTTGGAACGTATCAACGTATACTACAATGAGGCCAGCGGTCAGTCGAAATCATTTGCTTTTGCATGGTTTTCGACTGAACTAACAAGGAGAAGCAGTCTTTCGACGTTAAAGTGGAATTACGAAGTCAGGCTTTTCAGGCGGCAAGTACGTTCCACGTGCAATATTAGTTGACTTGGAACCGGGGACCATGGACTCAATTCGTGGGGGTTCTTTCGGACAACTCTTCAGACCCGATAATTTTGTTTTTGGCCAAAGTGGAGCGGGTAACAACTGGGCTAAAGGACACTATACCGAAGGTGCAGAGTTGGTCGATAACGTACTGGATGTGATTCGCAAAGAAGCTGAAGGTTGTGATTGCCTTCAAGTGAGTTCTGGATTTACTTGTATAAATGTCTGTTCTATTCTAGTCGTGCTACCTTTATTGTAATGATTGTTTTCAGGGCTTCCAATTGACACATTCACTTGGTGGCGGAACGGGCTCAGGTATGGGAACGTTGTTGATCTCAAAAATCCGTGAAGAATATCCTGACAGAATCATGAGTTCGTTCTCTGTCGTGCCCTCACCTAAGGTTTGTATTCTCTTGCCTTAACGGCGTGCACACTGTGTGTTCATCAATCGTCAATATGAAACATGAAACGTTTTTCAGGTATCAGATGTGGTTCTAGAGCCATACAACGCCACTCTATCAGTACATCAACTCGTTGAAAATACAGATGAAACATTCTGTATTGACAACGAAGCGTTGTACGATATCTGCTTTAGAACGCTGAAGCTTACCAACCCAACATACGGTGATCTCAACCATCTAGTATCGGTAACAATGTCCGGTGTTACGACATGCCTGCGTTTCCCGGGTCAATTGAATGCTGATCTGCGTAAACTGGCTGTCAACATGGTTCCATTCCCTCGTTTACATTTCTTCATGCCCGGTTTTGCGCCACTCTCAGCTCGAGGTGCTGCTGCTTACAGAGCACTGAACGTTGCTGAGTTAACACAGCAAATGTTCGACGCGAAGAACATGATGGCTGCTTGTGATCCACGCCATGGTCGTTATCTGACAGTGGCAGCGATGTTCCGTGGTAGAATGTCAATGCGCGTACGTTTTATTAAAGCAGCATTTATTAGCCAAATACTCGAATGATACGTGAGAATGTGTTGTGTATGCCGTATGATGTATTTGTTCAGTGATGCATTTCAGGAGGTTGACGAACAAATGATGCAAGTACAGAATAAGAACTCGTCGTACTTCGTTGAATGGATCCCGAACAACGTGAAGACAGCAGTGTGCGATATTCCACCAAGAGGCTTGAAAATGAGTGCCACCTTCATTGGCAATACCACCGCTATCCAGGAATTGTTCAAGCGTATTTCGGAGCAATTCACTGGTTTGTTATTCACTCTGTTCTTCTGCTTCCATTATTCTGAGTAGTGTTCCAGTTCTTCTGATAGTTATTTTTTTGAATTGCAGCAATGTTCCGTCGTAAGGCATTCCTTCACTGGTATACTGGTGAGGGTATGGATGAGATGGAGTTCACCGAAGCCGAAAGCAACATGAATGACCTGGTGTCTGAATATCAACAATATCAAGATGCGACGGCTGACGATGGTGATATGGACAATGTGGATGAGACGGAGTATGCAGAGCAAGAAGCAGAAGAATAATTATTTATTGGTTGACAATTTACTACCGACGGATCCAATCCCACTCTTTTCTAGCTTATCGAGCCCATCATTATCTATATTTCCGTATCTCCATCGTACACAACACCGTTTTAACTCCGTCTTAGCTGTTTATCCAATTTTCTCCTAATGCTTTTATTTATTTATTTCCGTACTGATGGATCTTCTTCTTTATATATGTAATTCCATTCATTTGGCTACTTCTAACTGCAGAATAATTGATTTATCGTGAACAATCCCCCCTCTCCCCATCGCGTTCTGATTTTCCAAGTACTATTGCAGTGCTTATGCGTTGTGATGTTCTCATTCGAGTTAAATTGCACATACACTCGAATTATATGATGATCTGCAATGATTTTTTTAAACAAATCGGAGTTGGTTGTTGTTCATTTGAATTGCTTTTACCCATACGGGTATTATCGTCTGTTAGAGTAGATGTTCGTCGGTTTTGCTAATGATTTGCAAACATTTAATCTCTCCGCTGATCTGATTTTATTCGATGTTTATTTCCGTCTAATGATATCCTGTTTTATTGTACGGTGTTGAAGCTACGTATTAAAAGTTTTCCTCCTTTATTTTATCGTTCAACAAATTTGGTGGATGATTTTTGTTGTTTTTATTGCAACACTCGAACTGATTCTTATTGTGCTCCCAGAACCATGTTTTGAGTTAGGACTAGTATGTTTATTCAATTGATAGCCAGGGAGTTGGTGCTGTTGTTATTCTAAGACTCGTGAAAGGCAGTGGAATGCAAGTTGACTGGTAATTGGGACGGGTGTGTTCAACGGTCTACCTTCAGTTGGTTAATTGCTTTAGACAATCGAAGGACAGGGTAAGTGAGATGGATTCACAACATTAAAAAAACAATAGTGGTCGTGGGTCTAGGTGTCGTGTTTCTTGTTCTGTTGTTGTTTCGCAGAGCGAGGGATTTTATCGTATTGTTTAGGATGAAGTAAAAGTCTAATTATTTGGTCGTGATGACGGCTGTGCTGGCGTTGTCAATACTAACGAGTATCGCAAAGCAGCAAACAGTTGTTGTGAGTGAGTGAAATTGATTTTGCAAAAAAAAAAACTGGAGCAGGGATATTACGGGGTGGAAAACATAAAAAAATAACGTAGAGAGGCTAGGAGGCATGAGTGGCTTAAAAGATGCATCGGGTGTTGCAGCAGGAGTGGAATAGCAGGTAAATGTGCATGGGAGAGTAGCAAAATGAGTACGGAAAAGATGGCGAGCGAGCACTCGACTTTACTGTCAGTCAATTGGTTTTGAATCGATAATAGCTGTTTTGCTAAAGCAAACAGTGAATGTGGCGAAATGTCGGGACTCGGTGGATGTCAAAGAGGTTTGTCAAGGACCACCCTGTCAACTGGTAGCACCTCTAACGTCTTATATATACCTACATTTTTATATGGAGTCAATGTTTGTACGCGTGCATCGTATAAAATTTGTTTGAGTGTGTTCTTAGAACAACAATTATTGGAACGGATAAATGTATGTGATGCATGCAAGCGTGCATGTTTCAACGAAGAAATTATTGGATGAGTGCTGCTGATGCTGTTGCTGTTGCTGTTGCTGCTATTGCAAATAAAAAGGGCAAGCAAACGGGTAATTTGATGGAGTAGTGTGCACGCACGCACCACTGTGTTCTTTAGAGTTGTGTCGACTAAGCAGCAAGATGACAAAATAAGTAGGATTAGTAGAGGCTAGGGCCAGCTTGGTACGAAAGGCCCCAATTGAAATTTCGCAACAGTCATTGATTGTGGTGATGTATTGAAAGAAGAGCAAAAAAAANNNNAAAAAAAAGGAAACGAGCCAGTGATGCGAAGGGGCCGGATGAATTAACGAGACTGCAGAAGGCTTGCAAACGAGCGAGCCGACAATGCAAATAGATCGAATGCATTATGCGTTCTGGTTGCTGGTGCGTTATTGTTATATGCCATCGTGTTCGTTGTGCGTATGTAGAGCATAAGGAGTATAAATAAAGTACGGGACCAGCGAGTGATGTTTATTTACTGCGTATGGCTTGGATCGATGATACGTTTTCATCATACATCATCCAAAAGGCTGCTGATGATGCTGCTGCTGTTGAGTGCTGAGCGCTGTAGAAGTGACTGATAAGGTGCCAGTTGAATTGCATTAAAACTGCATGCAGAGGAGAAGATAATGTAGGCTTATATGCAACTTATATTATCTCTAGTGTTCTTATCCTCTAAGCTCAACTTTTACGGTGCTCAGCTAGCTCCGATTGATGCTCCTACAGCAGCAGCAACAACAACGACACCAATCCGAAACCATAGTAAATGGTACATGCAGGTTCGAGTTGAAACAACGAACTACTCATAATTAGCTGCAACAGCTTAACTCATTTAAAAATCATTTCTATTATTACAAACGTAAAATTTCGATGGCAAATTAGTGTGAAATTGTTTCGAACAGCAGTTTTTGACTCGTCCTTTACATCATTTGTATGTTTAAGAACTTTTCGATAGCTTGCGGATGTTCAGTTGTAGGATTAGTAGAGGATTGGAATGAATTTATTTATATAGATGCTGATATTGGCGATTAAACAAGGTGTTTAGCAAAAATACGCCACAGTAGCAGCATCACTTAGCCAGCCGGGTGTAGTCAAACGAGGCTTTGATGATGACATGTAGATTGACGAAAACATTAGTTTATGCACGTGATCAGTGATGGATTGGATCGTTTACCTTTCACATACTGGCAGTATGTCTTGGATGATTTCAGTTTCAATTTGCACTCGTCAGTGTGTAGATAGATATTTTAGTAATGATGCAAATGGATTATTATTCAACAAGTGACACAGCTATTGATGTTTGTAGTATGTAAATGGTTGTTTTGTTGATAGTGGTATTCGAAAGAGTTGTATTCGTTGTTCTGTTCTCGTTTGCGAGAAGTTCGCGTTGTTGTGTTGCTTATCAATGAATGATTGAATATTAAACGAATAGCACTCAGCAGCTATGTCGAACGATGTGTCGGGTCGTGTTACTTCAATTGCTCAACTGGTAGCTGGAATGAAAAATTTGAATGTTACTTTCATCGTAATTGATGTTGGTCAGTGTTAATTACTTTTTTATTTGTCTACTTATGTTATCATGTACTGGTCAAGAAAAGTTGAAATTTGCATTGAAAGCTTGACTGTTTTGATAGCGCTTCATGAATTTTCAGACTCAGTGTTTTTTTTTCTCGTTCTTCTTTTCTGTTGGTTTCCAGGAGCGTCACGTCGAACGCAACAAGGACACGATATTCGGACAGTACGAGTGGCCGATCCAAGCGGTTCAATTTTAATGTGTGTTTGGGATACAGTCGCTGAGGTGATTCGCTCAGGGGAAATATGGCGTTTAAGGTAATAAGAATAGTTGAATGGTGTTGGTGAAGATGTGCGCTGATACGGTGAACACTTTAAGGTGAACACTAAAAGAAGTGCTTTTCAGGAATGGTTATACGAGTGTGTTTCGAGGTGCGCTAGGTTTGTCGTGCGGTAAAGCTGGGGACTTGATGAAAATCGGCGAGTTCTTTATGGTATTCTCAGAAGTACCAAATATGAGTGAATATAGCCCTGAGTTGGCTGCGAAATATCCAATGCCAAGGAAGGGATCACCGGGTGATGAGAATGGAAACGGTGGTGGAGGAGGTATTGATCAGTCGTCGTCAAGTTCAGGACTGGGTGGAGGTGCAACGAATACAACGGGGGGATTAGGAGTATGTTCAGGTGGAGTAACTGCTCAACCAAGCTCAACATCGGCGACATTAGGTGGCGGCTCTCAACAATCTGCTAGCGCTTTGCAATCGTGTTCATCGGCGAGTGGAGTGGGTGCAGGCTCAGCGTTATCGTCAAGAAACGTTGCTGGTACGAATATGAGTGTGACGGGTTTTGTAAATAATGCTGGTGCTATTGCAAGTGCAGGTGCAGCAACTCGAAGAGCATTTCAGTCAGGGTTCTGTCGATCGGATGATCAGCATCCACGTACCGCCAAGCTGTCTCGTGTATCAATGTAGCAATCTAATTTTTGATAATCACTCAAATTCTTTCAAGAAGTTCTTCATTGAATCCATTGATTATCTCATTCGTTCACTTTATTGATTAACACGCAAGCTTACAATCTTACATTCACTTACCCAACCTTAAAACATAAGCGTCCCGAGCATTTCACATGATAGAATAAATTTTTAAAAATTCCCATTGGGCCATCTGCAGTCTAATTCTGAATAATTCATTTCGTTGTGTGCTTGTAGTTGTTTGTTCTATTCATTATATTTGTCATTGTGTTTACTGTTACGATTATCATTGATATTGCTGTTATCAGTATTAACATTACTGTCGTCATTCTCTTTATTTCATGCGCAATTGAATAATAATTCGTATGATTCGTTAAGTCATTATTCTGCAATTATCTGAGATTTAAAACTTCTCATTAGTTTATCAATCTCGGGTTTTTCATATTTCTCCAAACGTCAACAAACTTCTCACTTCTTTCGTCTGTGGATATTTGCAGTATCTGTTCTTTTCATTATTATTATTATTATTATTATTATTATTATTATTGTTATAATAACTGTTATTGCCGTTGTTCGGTACAGGTATTAAGATTGTTTTTCAAGATTACGGGTACATTTACGTTGGATTATGATGATGATCTTATCGATTTGTTGCGCTATCGAATCACTCATCAGAAGAGTGTTCGGCTGGTTCAGGATGAGGCTTTATTGATTTTTGATGTATATTGGATACTTTTCAAGAGCGTCGTGTAATGTTTGTTGTTCGATATTGTGATTGTTAAAATTTGAAATGAATTTGTCAAGAAGCGTATGGATTTTGTGTGACATACATAAATTGTTTGTTTGAGAAGTGGCAACAAATGACCGAAAAATATTGAATGAATAAATTTTTTTTGAAAATGATGAGTTGAACCCAATAAGTGTGTTCTTTATGAATCGATTCTTCCGCATTCAAGTCCAACTCTACCTACTAAACTCCACATCGATTTGCTAACACACTGTACAACAAAACACTTTCACATCATCATCATCATCATATTGAATGGATTTTGTAAGTGTGTAGGTTGTGAAGCAAAAACTAAAACTAGAGTGAACATGCTGCAACAGCAGCAGGAAGACTGTTCATAACCAGCCGCCCTTCTGGGCGTCGAACCAATCATCCCTAGTCTTATGTCTAGAAGCGCTAACCACTGAGCCAATTGCAAACGGCTGAGGCGAGTCAAAAAACTGATATTGTTGCGGTCGCGTGCGTATGCCAATGTGCACACAGACGACGTTTTGCGAAGCAACAATTTACATATGACGACATTGAGACGTGCGATTATTGGGGAATTCAGTGATATTTTTACAATTATTAAAGAAGATGTGGATTCGTTTACGAAGCATGAATATGTGCAGTTAACAAATATCGTATAACCTGTATGATCATCATCTATTCGCGTGATTAACAGTGGACAGCTTCGTGTGATCTATAATTGTTACGCGATAACGCAAATCATAATGAAAGTAGCGATCGTTTGTTTATCATCAATAATTATTTGGGTATTTGAGTCAATCAGCAATTTGTCTATATGCAGCTGAGCATTCCAGATGTTCTCTTGAATGGTTCTTTAGAACGTGTTGATTGTGAATTATTGCATCATTTTGAAGTACTTAACAAAGTGGTTGATTCACATTCTATCGTTTCACTTATTATTCGATCGTTTCAGTAGCAGAAGAAAGCGATTTGCAGAATGTTCAGCTAGCTGTCTTGCGAACTGAATTTTAGACTAGAACCATGCTTACCGATCTCGTTGAAATGTATGTGATTTACTCAAGAAATCGTGTTTTATTCGATAATTAAAGTGTTGATCAGAGAATGGGTCGAACATGTCCACACTGTGGAAGTAGTGATATTGACGATGATCAGGCACGTGGTGATTCGACATGTATGAGCTGTGGTACCGTTCTGGAGGAATCAACAATTGTCTCGGATGTTACCTATCAGGAACGATCTGGTGGTGGAAGTGCTTTAGTTGGTTAGTCTCTTCTTGATCAGCATTTGAGACATGCAACTGAACCGTTCATTGCCACTATAAGACGTCATCTATATTAAACTGAACTCCACAGTAAACTACACTCCACATCGATTTGCTAACACTGTACAACCACTAACAACACAAAACACTTTCATCATCATCATACTGAAGGATATTGAATGCTGAGGTTTTCCTCAGAAAAGAAAAGCAATTAGAATGAAACTGAAGTTGAATCAATAGGTGTCTCAAAATGATTAACTAACTAATAGTCATAAAGCAAAATAGCCAAGCCATAAATTGATAGTAAAAATTAAGCTTCCTGAATGAAATAAAAACGTAAAGCATATGAAAAGCGTGATGAAAAATCTTCTCAGTCGTCATTTTGCCGCAGGATTTTCATTGAGTTTAATATTTTCGCGGAGTATCACAGCTGAGGTTTTCCTCAGAAAAAGCGATGAAAGTCACTTTTTTATTTTTCAGAATATCCAAATTGGAAGGAGCTAGAACAATCTCAAATGAATGCTTTTTAAGGATAGTAATAAAACTAATGGACAACTGAACACAATGCATGCATACATACATACATAAAATCTAAGCATTAAACTCATAGATTTATCCAATGCAGCACTGCTAAATATTAATTTGATCTTTTAATTTTTCACAGATGAAATAAGAGTATGCAACGTTAATAAGCTCAGTAGTGATCTCGAAAATGAACAAGTGTCGGTATACAATGTGAGTTGGTTGTGCAGTTACAGTTTACGATTGTATTTATATAAAGCAAGCGATGATAAGACTGAATCTTGTTCCTCATTGCTTTTCATTTCAACATTTATAAACAACGAGAATAGTAGTGAACAACTGCAAATGATTAATGCAACTGAATAAGACATTGTTCATTTAAGGTCAGTTCGTGTCTCGTGATCGTGCGCAGCCAAACACCCTGTCCGGTGTGCCGGGTCTACTTCATCAAGAATCCAGGGAAGTGACCTATATGAAGGGGAAAAAACTGATAGAAGCAGTGAGTGTGTTCATCATTCGATTAACAATCGTACGGTAACGATGAATTAAGATGAAAGTGTTTTAGATTGCAAGTCAGTTGCGTATAAATCAGCATTGTATCGATACAGCTTTCAACTTCTTCAAGATGTGTGTGTCACGTAATTTCACTCGAGGACGCATCCGATCGCATGTGGTTGCTGCATGTCTTTACATGACTTGTAGACTTGAGAATACTGCGCATTTGTTGTTGGACTTCAGCGATGTTACGCAGGTCAGGTTGTTTTGTTTGAATTGTGTTTGATTCAATATCATAGTTGATCATGCGCACAGAGAGGGGAGGATGAGTTGATTGTTCTGCTTAAGAGCCGTTCACCAGGCTGCCATGTTGTCTGTTGACTTGTTCTTTCTCGACAGCACCATCGATCATCCATCCATGTGTGGACCTATGATTAGTCGAGGTGATGAGGATATTGGATGATCAGTTGGTCGACTGAATGCTGTGTTGATTGATTTCATTGCAGGTGAATGTATTCGATTTGGGTCGTACACTCAACTTTTTGGCTCGATCGTTGAAAATCAATTTGCCAACAACAGATCCTTGTTTGTACATTCTACGATTTGCGGTCTTATTGGAATTTGGTGATAAAGAGAAGGAGGTTATTCAATTATTTTTATTCGCGTTACATATTTGGCTTTTTGACTATATATGGCGAATATTTAAGAGTGTGATGATGAGGGTATGATATGACAATTGCAGGTGGTATCGTTAGCAACACGTTTGGTGGAAAGAATGAAACGTGATTGGATTTCGACTGGTCGACGACCGACGGGTTTATGTGGTGCAGCGTTGGTGTTGGCATCGAGATGTTATAACTTCAATCGAACGATCAACGACATCGTTCGAGTGGTGCATATCAGTGAAACAGTTGTACGAAAACGGTTGGATGAATTCGGTAGAACACCGTCGAGCGAGTTGACAATTGACGAGTTTACGACGATTGATTTGGTGTGTTGATTTTTTTTAGTGAAAAAGAAAGTTCATTGTTTAGATGTGTTTTGGAATGGAATTGATCTTTGGAATTGTGATCGATTCGAACTGTTTGAGATATTGATAGCGGGCAGAACGAGATGGTACGGTGGCCAGTGAAGGCAGGAAGCTGAAAGTATTAATTAATATGTTGACTAATTGCTGATACAGGAACACTGTGAAGATCCACCGTCATTTCAAGAGTCAAGGCGTAGAGTTCGCGAACAATTGAAACGCAAAGAGGAAGAAGTCGTCAAAGAGATCGAACCTGAAGTTAGTAACACTGATATTAGCAGTAGCAATTAACAGCAATGATGATTGTTGCTGTAATAAATAGTAACGAGTATGATAATTGTAGTTGTAATGATGATGACAATATTAATGATATGTTAGGTGTTTACAAAATTGTGTTTATGGTTAGTGTAATACCCATTAATTGTTTCGGTGGCGTGCGTTATGGGCTTATTTTTGGATTATAAATAAGTTTTTTTTAAATATTAAAGTCGGTGAATGAAAATCAATGAAGAATGGTTGGGAAAGCGTATTGAGTGAATTGGATATTGCGATTTAGGTGATGCCATTAGAAGAGGAATTAGAGAAGGCATTGGAGAGGAAAAGACGTGAGAAGTTCAAAAAGACGTCTTATGCGAAGATGATGAGTGATTCGTTGGTGAAGGAAGCACCTGAACTGAGGGTAGCCGATTCAGTGGTACGGAACGAAATTGTTGAGTTAGCATTCGATGCTGGTGATGAACGACAGAGGTTTGTTTATGGTCACTGATATCGATCATTACGAACAGCTGATTTGAAAGTGCTCTCACGAATATTGATTGATGTTGATGTTTGTCGATGTCATTATTTGTTTATTTCGAAGGCCATTAACTGGAATGTCATCGTGTTACGCACCAACACTCGAAAGTCTTGGTATATCTGACCCTCTGAAACCACAGCCTTCAACGACTGCATTTCACCAGAACGATTTTGATGAGAATGCAAATGGTGAATTGGATTTGGAAGGTATTATTATCATTATTATTATTGTTATTCTGTCATCTTATTGTTGATATTTTGTTATTATTATCATTAAAAATATACAATGGTGGGAGTAAATTTAGGAATAGATGACAGCGAAATAGATACGTACATTTTATCGACAGAAGAGGCGGAGATGAAATCAAGATTGTGGATGAAACTTAATAAAGATCATTTGATTGAAGTGGAGCGAAGGTGTTTATTTGTTTTATTTTTATTATTCCATTCAATAACGTTCTTCAAATAAATATACTGAACTCAGTACACCAAAACTAACTAAAATTTTCATTAAACAGACAAAAAGAGCGTGCCGAAGAGGAGGAACGAGACAAAGAGAGTGGTGTAAAAAGAAAGCGAAAAAAATCGTCTGCAAATGTGAAGAAAAAAGAGCAAATCGTGGCTGCAACCGCCCAAGAAGCAATGGTTAAAGTTATTCAAGTGAGCCTGTTTTTATTATTCATTATTTTATTTATTATTGTTATTATCACTGTTACTATATTTATCATGATTATTTTCGCTATGATTACTAAAGCTGAAATTATAATGAAAGGTGAGTGAGTTGTCGTTTATTTTTGTTTGCTTTCAGGAGAAGAAACTTTCGAATAAGATAAATTACGAGATTCTGAAAGAAATGGAAGATTCGGAGAGTGATTTGAGCAAAGAGTATTATCCAACACGGGATGAGGTGTTGTCGTCGTTGACGGGCGACGATCTGAAACGGACCGAGAACGGCCAAGAGCAGTCGTGTGCTGAGCCCGCGAAAACGGAGTGCTTATCGAGTGAGAAGGTGTGTGTTTGGTTGTATGATTTGTTTTGTTGTTATTAATGTTATTTGTTTTTATAGCAGTCAGATGAGAACGGTGGTACATCGTCGATGAGACGTCGTCCTCTAGTGCGAAGTGTACGATTCAGATCTGCGTTGCGATCGAATAGGTTCCGTGCTGGTGGTAACGTGCGCACTGCGAATGAAACGATTGTTAAGCAAGAAAATTCACTTGTTGAAGGTGGTTGCTTGATTGTTTCATTTCACTTTGATAATTATTTTTGTTGTTTTTATTATTATTATTATTATTATTAATGTTATTATTAATGTTATTATTATTATTATTATTATTATTATTATTATTATTATTATTATTATTATTATTATT